TTATAAATGGGTTTATGGCAAATGAGGATTTGAATCGAGCAAGAGAGCTTTTTGATCAAATGCCAGAGAAGAACGTGATTTCTTGGACCACGATGATTAATGGGTTTTCACAAAATGGAGACCATGAAATGGCGTTATCAATGTTTTCCAAGATGTTAGAGAAGGATATGCGGCCTAACAAGCTTACTGTTGTTTCTGCTCTTTCAGCATGTGCAAAACTTGGTGCCCTTCAGATTGGAGCACGAATTCACAATTATCTTGTGGACAATGGTTTCTGTGTGAACGGAGGCATTGGAACTGCTTTGGTAGACATGTATGCAAAATGTGGTAATATCGAGTCTGCTAGTTTGGTATTTGGTGAGACAAAACATAAGGATATTCTTACCTGGAGTGTTATGATATGGGGTTGGGCAATCCATGGACGTTTTGAACAAGCTATGCAGTGCTTCAGACAGATGATGTATTCAGGTTTCTCTTTTCTGTCTTCCTTATAATTCGATGACGATTTTGTTTTTATTCATTCAGGCACTGACCTTGCGACGTTTATAGGAATACAACCGGATGGAGTCGTGTTTCTTGGCGTACTAACTGCATGCGTGCATTCTGGGCAAGTAGATATGGGACTTAATTTCTTCCATAGCATGAAGCTCGACTATTCAATTGAACCCACCATGAAACATTATGCATTAATTGTTGATCTATTAGGCAGGGCAGGCCGGCTAGATGAAGCTATGAAATTCATTAGAAATATGCCAATAAATCCTGATTTTGTGATATGGGGAGCACTTTTCTGTGCTTGCAGAGCGCACAAAAATATTAAGATGGCAGAAGTAGCCTCAGAGAGGCTAATGGAGCTTGAACCTAAGCATCCTGGGAGCTATGTTTTCTTGTCAAACATTTATGCTGCAGCAGGAAGATGGCAAGATGTGGAGAGAGTGAGAATGTTTATGCAGGATAGAGGAGTCGGGAAAGATCCAGGGTGGAGTTATATTGAGGTGGATGGTCAAGTGCATAGCTTTGTTGCTGGCGATCAATCTCATATGAATGTAAAAGAAATATACATGAAGTTAGAGGAAATCATGTCTAGTGCTAGGGAAAGAGGATACACGCCAGAAACTGGATGGGTACTCCATAATATTGAAGAAGAAGAGAAAGAAGATGCATTAGGAAGTCACAGTGAGAAGTTGGCAGTCGCTTTTGGGCTCATTAGTACTTCTCCTGGCGTGACCATTAGGATTGTGAAGAACCTTAGGATCTGTGGGGATTGTCATTCTATGATGAAATATACTAGTAAGGTAAGCCAAAGGGAGATCGTACTTAGAGATATAAAGCGATTCCATCATTTCAAGGATGGGATCTGTTCCTGTGGAGATTATTGGTGACATGATGTGGTGAATTTTTGGCCCTGGGTCTTGTTCAATTGCTATTGCTGTTTGGATCTCCATAAAGTCAAACGGAGGCTGTCTCATTTTAAATTCGAGAAGAAGTGGATGAAGTTTGATGGTTTTTAGGAGTTCATCAAGAAGTGGTGGTTTTACTCCTTTCCTGAGGAGATGGTCTCCAGAAGGTTAAACTATGTTAAGATGAAGATCAAATCCTAGAGCAAGATGCTTTCGGGTCTTTTAAGGAGAAAAGAGACAATATTTTGGCAGAAATGTATTGATTAATGCCTGTGAAGTGGATAGGAAATTGCAGATTCTTACAAGCAGGAAAGCAGTCTTTTGCAAATGGAGCTGCCTACTTTGATGTTATGGAGGAACTTGCTTGGAGACAGTCGTCCAGTTTCTGGTTTATTTTGCTGCTTATCAATTCCTTACTGTGATTGAATGGATTAGTTTATCTCTTAACAGACAGAAAGAAGGCAGAAGCTTGGATTACCACCTGAAGAGCCTGCAGCTGCAAAACCATCTGCCCCTAATGTGGAGGAGAAAAAGGTATAGGGTTGTCCAAATTATAACTTTTTATAGATCAAAAGATCTTACTTGCAGACTTAAATTTATGTAACTAAACTTCTGCTCAAAATATCTTAAAAGACTTCTTCTTTTGGCTTATGTAAGTAAAAACAGTAGTTATTGAAGCCACATTAATGAACTCCATTTAATGATGCAGTGCTGCTTGATCTAATCTAGTTGGTATACCTTTTATTTCAAAAAAAAAAAAAAAATGACGCAGTGCTGCTTGAGCTGAGCACTGTAGGATCAATATTTTTAAGTTCTTGCTGCATCTAATTTGCAGAGCCTGTTGCCTGTCCGGCCTTCCAAAAAGAAGCAAATGCACAAGTCCTTATGGTCATTTTATCAAAGTCACAAGGTAAATACAAGTGTTTATCCATCATCTTGATTATCATGGGGCTGTTAGAACTTTCAGAATCATGAGGAGTCCATATAGGCTACATTTGGTAGTGAGGTGGGAATTTTTTTAAAAAAAATTGTTTTGATTACTGTAATTAAAACCTTATTATTATCCAAAATAATATTAGTTTTTGGTAAATTATTTTTAAGAAACTATTATTGAGATATTGTACAAAATGTTTGTGTTTGTTAAAAAGTTTTAGAAATATAGTTAGCATAATGGTATGTATTTAGAAACAATATTTCTTTTTAGAAATTGGATCATGTTTATATATTCCGTATTAATATTTGGGATGATAATGTATATATTTAGCAAGTAATTAAAACTCTATAACATTTTCTTTGCTTTTTATGTAACAAATCTTGTTTTAGAAACCCACTATATAGTAGCTAAATTTGTTTTTCCCAATTGAAAATTTTGAAAAAAGCAATTAATAATGTATTACCAAACACAATTTCTAAAAGCTACCAAAAGAACTTTACCAAACTAAGCCATAATATCCTAAGTGATGCTTTGCCTGTTGTTACCCTTTTCCCAGTCAGCATTCCTGTAGTAAAATGTTGTTGAGTCTGTTAGTAGCGTAAGATCATAACATGGCGACCTTTGAACAAAGGCCAAGGCCTTAGTTAGAAGAGCTCTATGGTTGCTGTTTTACTTGTCTTCTCATTTCAGAGACTATACATTTTTTTTTTTTTTAATATAAAAAAAGTAGCAATATATCATAAAAGAGAGAAGAGGAAAATATAGAGGAAAAGAGGATAAGTTATCTTTTAGAAAAATTTCTGAATTTCATCTACATATTGGTCTAGAAATATTTTTTATTTTCACCTACATAATGGAAAATAATTGTAAATCATCCACACAATAAAAAATAATTTTTTTTCTCTATTTTTCAAGAACTAACCTCTGAGAAAAAAAGAGCAGGAATTCCATTTGTCATTTGGAAACTTAACACTGGGAAGTTTGCTTATAAGAATCGTTTTTCTTTAGTAAATATATTCTGTTTTATAAATTCACGTAAATGTGGTTTTACAGTGTAAAAGTAGATTTCACCCAACCACAGTAGTATTAGATCATTGAATTCAAAGTATCTAGAATGTTTTTATTTTTAACTTGTGGTAAAATGAAGTGAAACCACAGTACTTAAATTTCTTGCCTCGAAGAAAACAAGAAAAAGAAAAACTGTCATGGTTGACAATTTTGGCAACCTTTTAAATTTCTTTGCCTTAAAGAAAACAAGAAAAAGAAAAACTATCATGGTTGAGAACTGGAGAAGACACAGGACTCCAGTCCTAAACAGGATCAATACTTTTTTTCCAATCCCACATGGATCTTGCCTCAGTAAATGCCTTTTATTGTGTATCATTTTGAAAAGAAAATGAAGAAAATAGTTCCCATTTCATGATACATCTTTAGATTGTCCCACATTTCCTTTTTTTGAAAAATGTAATTACTGAGAACACCAAAACATGTGGATTGCACAATGTTTGTCAAAACAAAAGTCATACACTGAAGTTCACTGGGCCATGCTTGTATTCTTTATCTGGCTGGCTGCGCATGGTGGCTTGCATAAGTTGACAAACAAAACAGGTTCTAAATCTACTGCTTGTGATAAACTCTTCTCCTTGAACTTACATCTGTTTGTGTATGTACGTATTTGGAACCTTCTTCTTGCCTCTCTTCATATGTTTTTGCTGTTGATGACTATAAGGTGATGATTCCAGCCATGGGATGTCTTTTATGTTATGTGTATATACGTACATGGAACCTTCTGCTTGCTTCTCTTTATATATTTTTACTGTTGATGACTAAAAGGTGATGATTCCAGCCATAGGATGCTTTTTGTGTTGTGTACAATGGTTAAGGGAAAGGTCGCAGCTAGTGTATATTTGATTCTGAATGCATTTTAATGCTCGGTTTCTTCACAAGTAAAATTAAGCAGTTGGGTATGAACCGAAACCCTCAGGTTAAAAATCTGAACATTTATTTGCTAAGTTATAAAAGGATGAAATTGTTATGAATGTTGCAGATAATGTTTTTCACGCAGTCTTTTATGATGAATCAATATTTTTCATGTTTTTAAATAAAATTTGATTGATTAGTTTAATAAAATAAAGCTTTATTTATTTAGTTATTTTTAAGGGCCCCTAAAATCCTTAACAATTTGGAAAAACTTATTAATTACTCAGACGGCATTGTTGTATACATTTAAATATATCAAGTTCCAAAGTTTGATAATTTACAAATATTATTTTTGTCTTTGTTTTGTTATAATTCACTTTTAAGTTAAAATTGATTATATCATGTTGTATTTTTTTAAAAAAAAAAAAAAATTATATTTTATTTTATATCTCAATCTGTATTCTTAAAATATACTGTTATCTGAAAAAATTCACGTATAATGATTTGGTAGAAAGATGATTAGTGGGGGTAATTAATTCCTGTTTATCTGTTAAAAATGTTAAATAAATAAGTTTAATAAAATTATTCATGGCTTTTCACCCCTTGATTTTTATTAGATTAATAAATATTTTATATACTTATTTAATTATATTTATTCAAACAAATTTAACGAAATTATAAACTGGGTTTCTTTTTTTTTTTTTTTACACTAAAATAATGTTATTTGATATAATTTGTTATTTTTTAAATTTATATTTCATATAAATTAATTAAGAGCCATAATAATTAGTAATTAAGCGGGAGATACATTAAGATAATCAGACCTCATAATTCCTGGACTAATAAAATCAATTATTATTGTTTTTAAGACCTCTAATCTTTCTTTTTTTATAGAGAAAAAAAAAATTAAGTTTCAAATATTTATAATCATAAATCAATCTTTAAATTCATTTTTTAAAAAAATAAAGTTTACAAATTATGGTAATAATCTAAACAAATTTAACAAAAACAATTAATTTATTATTTAAATCACAAAACCGGTAATAATAGAAACTAAGAATGAAAAGAAATATCCAATAATTATTTTTTTAGTATTAAACAGAATAATTGTATTTTTAAATTATTTTTATTTCCCTCAGAATTTTTTTTTGTTTTGTCGTTTATTAAAAATTACATTTTAAAATAATTTTATAAATTTTAAAAATAAACTAGGCAAAAATAAAAAATAAAAACTGAAATACATTATTGTTATCATCATATTAACAACGCGTCATTACTTGACCGCAATTTTAACATCCTCCGTCTAACCGTGCCGTCACTTTAGCTCCTCCTCTGAGAAGAGAAGAGAACAGGGAAGAAGAAGAAACTCTACCATCAGACTAATTAACCTCACTAACCTTCTGAATCTCTCTATATCTATTTGCATACGTGTACAAGGGTTTACTATATCTATAGATCAATCTTTGTAATGGTGAAGAAGCGGGTACCGGAATGGCTCAACAGCTCGCTTTGGTCCACCACTCCATCTCCCAACAACGATCGCGTTGCACACTACTCCCCCGCCACCTCCTCTGCATCCTCCATCGCCACGGTCGAGGCTACGCTGGACCCGCCGGTCCCGCTCCCTCCTCCTCCTGCTCCTCCAGTTCAAGCACCGGCTCCAAAAACCGATTCTAGGGATCCACGAAACGACAGCAGTAACGGAAATGATAATAATGGTGATTCTGTAGGACCCTCCCCCGATGATATTTCTCGCCAGGCTCAACTCTTATCTGAGGTCAAGATTGCCTGCTAACTCTTTCGAAAATAGAAGCAGAAACTACTAGTTTTCTTCCCTTAAAATTTTGTTTTATGTTTTCTCTTCCGTAAATCTTGTGGTTTGCATTTTGTTAGCTGTCGAAGAAGGTGATAAATATTGGGGAATTGAGGAGGATAGCGTCGCAGGGCATACCTGATTCTTCTGGAATTCGCTCTACTGTTTGGAAGGTATTCATTTGTTTCCTTTTTTTTTTTTAAGAATTTGTTTTCCCTTAAAAGAAGGGAATTCTCTGTTTATTGTTATAATTACTTTCGGGATTCATGTTGTGGCGCTGTTTGTTTTACGAGAAAAGTATAAATTTACGTTAGAATCTTATAATTCTGAATTGCTCTTTACTGAGTGAGCTTAATTTGTTTGTTTTTACCATATTGATCTGTTAGGATCTTTGAATCAAAGTATAACTTTAAGGCCTTGTCTCTAGTTTTACTTTGTTTGAGTTGACACCTAAGTATAAATCTCAAGTTAGCTAATTGATTGTTCCAGCTCTTACTGGGTTATCTGCCTCCTGATCGTTCACTTTGGTCTGCTGAATTGGCTAAGAAAAGATTGCAGTACAAGCATTTTAAGGAGGAGCTTTTGATGAATCCTGTAAGTAATATTGTCATTGAGGCAGCATACTTTTCCTAGTCCAATTCTAAGTGTTATTATTTTATTATTTTTCATCTTTTCTAGTTCAAGTCTAAGATTTATTTTAGTTTTCTACTTTTTTTAGTATTTCTTATTTCTAGTTAGATCCTTAGTTTCTTAAGATTTCCCATTCCTAGTTGGATTTTTGTTACAAACCTTCTAAAAAAACTTATTTATAACAGTTCTAGATATAACTTAAATACAATTAAACATTATTCTTTAAAGTTTTAGCCTTTGTTGTATGGAATCTAAGCACATTTGATCTTTCCGAAAAAAACTTCAGCTGCACCGGTCATTAAAATTTTTTTAGTACTTTAGCTCATTTGCATATGATTCTGGTTATTTTTAGTCATCTACAGAATGTTATACAGAACATGGTTAAATTCTGGAGCTCAATTTTGTATGTATAAACATGCTTCTGCTTTTGATTAATGATAGTTCGGAGTTTGACATCAATTTCTGCTGAAGCATAATGAGGCTAAAAAAATTATCAATGGAATGTAGATTTGGAAGAGAGAATTTATTAATCAGGCACCGAGGGGATGCCACTGGAATGCAAGATCTTTATGGAAAAGCAGTGAAAAAATTATCTATTGTCCCCTAGATCATCACTATCTACAAGATTAAGCCATTTGAACAAAATACACAGGGTCTGCAACTGTGAAATGCTAATTCTATGAAAGGGAGAGCAAGTGACCTCAAAAAGTCTTCTTTTTCTCTTTTTCCTCAAATCCGCTACAAGAGAAAAGTTGTTTCAGCATAACATGCAGACCATGAATAATGATATTTCAATCTTTCATTGACTGCTATGAATTTTTGCCAATAAGTTTTTTTCCTGCATCACTTCTGTTGATAAATGGAACCAACTAGGATGTTGAGCCATCACAACTTTAGACTTGCAGGTAAAATCACACTCGCCTTAGAGAATCTTGTGCTTATGACCTCCTTCTCTTCATCTGCTTTCTTCCCATAACTTTTCTTGAATTAAATTGTGGTTTAGATGGTGCAAATTTATGTTTATTTTATTAGCTGAATTGACAGGTGCTGAGCTCCTGTGTTATATGATTCAGTATTACATCCTTATATGTTCTATTCTGAGGCCAGTTGCTTAGGTAAATTGACAGGGTATCTAGGTTTTTATTTTAGAGAGTGAAAATTAGTATGATTCCAAACTTCACATGAGATGCATATGAATTTCTTTTTTTTTGGCTCTCCTTGTTTGTTTTTGTGTAAACGTATTGGATTTCTAAATCTTTTTGTGGCTAGTTAGTCAGAAATCGCAAGGAGGTTGGAAAACTCAAGGGCTGATAATGACGAGTCAAAATCTGCAAGCAGTGGCATACTTTCAAGGGCAGAAATAACCCATGACGAGCATCCTCTGAGCCTAGGGCAGACCAGCATTTGGAATAAGTTTTTTCAGGTATCATATTCAGCAAACTTGAACATGAGTTTCAGGGGCCATACCTGAAGGAATTACTAGTACCTAATGTTCTAGTCATATGTTCTTGTAGACTAGGGTATGTCATTAGTTCTTGGGACCTCTAGGGGAATATTTGTGCTTTATGCTGTTGTCTGGCATTAAAATGGTATTAAAGTGCATATATGCAGTTTGTGAGATATCTAATCTCAATTTTTGCATTCTTTAGGACACAGAGATCATGGAACAAATTGATCGAGATGTAAAACGCACTCATCCCGACATGCACTTTTTTTCCGGGGAATCAGCATTTGCAAAAGCTAATCAGGTGTTTTTTGGTTCCTTGTTTTGTTTTAGTTTATGTTTTGAGTTATTTGGCTGACTGACGTGCTCACTTTCAGGAGGCTTTGAGGAACATATTGATTGTTTTCGCAAAGTTAAATCCAGGAATCAGATATGTTCAAGGGATGAATGAAATTTTGGCCCCTCTTTTCTATGTATTTAAAAATGACCCGGACGAAGTAAATGCAGTGAGTATAGCTTTTCTTTGTTCCTAATATGGGGCATCTTTTCATTATGATAATATTTTTATCATAGCTGAACAAAAAAATTTAGATTTCCGCCTTTACAGGTTGAAGTACATAACAAGCACATTTGGTTTCAAAAAGGAGTTATTTTTTATGCTCCAGGCATTAGTAGTAGATTATTATCATTCAACTCTTACTCTGCCCATGGAACATATTAGTGGCCCTTAGAATGGATTCCTTGACAATGTTCCCATTTTTCCCAATATACATCCTTACTAGCATCGTCTGGGTATCTCAATTGTCATCAATCAGCAATTACCATCTTGGATTTTCCATTAAAAGCCCATTATGTTTCCTAGATTCCGGTGCAACTGCCTGGTATAACTATGTGTCGGAGTATTTTGGCTTGATAATTTTCATGATAAAAAATACAGGGCTCAAAAGTGAAGCCAAAAAATTGGATACGGATATTTGGATTCATTTTATACAAAAGATAATAAAAGGGATGTAAGCTAAGCTGATGTTATATACATAGCAATATACAATCTTTTGTTTAAAAAGATAGCTGATTCATGTTTTTAGTTAAAGTTAAAAAAATATTAATAATTAGTAATATATACCTGAATTGTTGTTTGTCCTAAATTTAGATATTGAAGAACATGCATTTCCATTTGTGTGTTAATTTTTTCAACTCCTAACCTAAGAGTCTTTATCATCATCTTCATATTATCATATATTATTATCTGTAGTTCTAGATCATCAAGCATCTGACATGTATGTTGTGTTGGATTCAGATCCCATATATTATAATCTATTTCCTAGGACTTTTTCCCTGGCTAGAGATGAAGAAACTTTGCTCGGTGGGTATGTTCAGTTTGTTGCTGCTGGGATCTTTTTCTTATTTGATTGTTTCGAAACCTAAATGACTGAGAGGCTGTTGAGTTCCTTCATTCACTGTTCTCTTGCCTAGGTGCAGTGGACCCTAACATAATACTTGTAAGGTTTTTGGTCAAATGTATACCATTTGTCCAGAATGAGGTTGTCTCTAGAATTCCTTGGAAGCAAAGTTGGAACTATAGCTCCTCTATATCGACTTCTCTTATGCTTGTTAAGCTGTTTGGGGAAGAATTTTAACTTTAGAAAATTTTGAGAAAGAGGGGTGCAATCCTAGTTAATTGCTCCTGATTGTGCTTCCGAGACTATGAATCCCCAACAGCCTCTTTTTAGTATACGGAGGTTGTGGAACTCATCCTTCGACCTTCTTAACTTGTCCTGTTTAGTTGTTGGCTCTATGACAAATGAGATCTGGGCATAAAATAGAAAATGTTTTGAGAGCATTTGCTCTCTTGTTCCAGAATTAGAGATCTTTAGTTCCAGACCTTGAATATTTTCTTAAATGTTCACCCTCTCACTTATGGAGAGGAATCAGGGAACATCAGAGAAATTTTGAGACTTTTGAATCTTAGATTCTTTTGTAATTGGATGGCACCCACTTGGTGCTGTATTATTACAATTCTATCTTTTCTTTTAAAAAAAGAAAAGAAAGGAGATAAAGTGGCTTGGAAAGTTATATGGGGGGATAAGTTTCGTTTATGAAATGATTAAGTTGGGTGACTAATCATCCAGAAGCATAAGTTGAGAAAAAAAAGACTGAAATGATTGTTTATATTTTAACAGACCATCTCAGGTGAAACCTTACTAATCAGGAAGCATGGATTAAGCACAAATCTACCACTATTTTGTGATAAAAATTTAATTTCTTCACAAGAAATGAGGGAAAAATAACATTCAAACTCTGATGGTTTTAATACCATGTGAAATATTACCTAGCAAAAAATTTAAGTGGATAAAAAAAGATCCAGTCTTATCATTTCTATTCGAACTGTTTTGATTGACAACTATGGTGACTTATGGGGTAAGCAAAGGAAATGAAAGAAAATATTATTCTTTGTCCTTATTCCTATTTTCAGTTTGTTGTTGTTTAGGAGCTTTTGCATTCATACTATTTGTTATTTGTGGACGAGTTCTTTTAGCTAGCTTGATTGATATGGTGGTCAGGGGGTTTTTGCTGGAGTCGTCTATGCTTGCTACAGATCTTGGCTTTGGTCATTGGTTTTTGAATCTTCCGTTTTTTGTTTTTTGTTTTCGTTTTCTTTTTGCTTTGTTTTTGCATTAGAGGATATCTTGTGCTCCCTTTTGTACTTCCTTCCTCATTGGTAATATTTAAAATAATATAATAATAAATGTATAAGAGTACTTGTCATTGCTTGGGATCCCACAAAAGATCTTGGAAAAATGACCTGTAACGGTAGGCTGACCACAAGAAATGTTATTCAGGTTTTTAGGACTAATTGAGTGGAAATAACCAGTAACGATAGCCTGGTCATGGGAAACTGTATCTCTCTTTTGATTATATTTGACCATCTTGTAGTATGAAACAGGTCCAAGAACATGACGAGGGACCAGAAAAATGCTAACCCCATGTCTGCTCATCAGCAATACACTTGCAATCTCCCTGGAAAAATGGAAACTTTTTCTCTACAAAACGATTTCAAAGTGGAATATGCAACAAAAAAAAACTGTTTCTGCAGTGGATAACAAAAATAAATAAAACGGCTATCTAGAATTTCTAGTAAGAATAAGTTGTAATTGTTGTATTTTTATTTTTATTTTTTCTAAGAAGAGAAAGTATTTTGGTTTTTATTTAAATAATCTCGGCATTTTGTTCTTCCCTTTTTGATTATTTCATTTTAATATATACTTTCATTTGCATATCATTTCTCATTTTAAGCTATGCAGGCCTCTGCTGAAGCAGACACATTCTTCTGTTTTGTTGAACTATTAAGTGGATTTCGGGATCATTTCTGTCAACAGCTTGATAATAGTGTGGTGGGAATACGATCTACGATTACGAAGTTGTCGCAGCTTCTCAAGGAGCACGACGAAGAACTTTGGCGTCATCTTGAGATCACAACAAAAGTAAGATACAGTCTCATAACACATCATGCATTGTCCTGCTAGCTGTCATATTTTCTCTGACTTTCTCTTGAATTATTCCCTCTTGATATAAGCATCAGCTCAACAACTAGTGCCCTATAAATAGCTACATTTTCTAGTTTAAATGGTTATCCTAATTAAATATCAGATTCGTACGATTACACAGAAAACGAGAATCTATTATTTGTTTAACCTGTGGGCATGAGTAACTTGTTATCACTCAATACTTGATTGCTTAGTCAGAACTATAATGTGTTGATATATGATGTACATAGTTTGCAGCGATACATGGTGTTAAAATTTGAATTCTGGAACTTCAGATGTAATTTGAGGCAGGATGTTTTTCAGTAATAAGTTTGATTAAGTTCTAGCTGTCTAGTTGCTATTGAGCATTACCATATTGGTGACCTTCCTCTAAACATATCATTTTCCTTATTTGTCTAAGGAGTTATTATTGCATATGTAAAGGAATAAATAATGATAGAGAAATGTGAAAAGTTTGCCCTGGTCTAAGTTTTCAGTCCTTTGGTGAATCAGTTTGTCTCAATTACTTAAATTATATGCTTAATGTATCATTTTGTCTCAATGACTTACATTATATGTTTGGCAGATCATTTGCCTCAATGACTTAACTTATATGTTTCATCTATCATTTTGTCTCAATGACTTAAATTATATGTTTGTCAGATCATTTACCCCAATTACATATTACATGTTTGAAACTTGCAGGTTAATCCCCAGTTCTATGCATTTAGGTGGATTACTCTCCTATTGACTCAAGAATTCAATTTTGCTGACAGTCTTCACATTTGGGACACCCTTCTCAGTGACCCTGAAGGTCCTCAGGTAGAATTATTGCTCTTTTCCTTCATTAGTTTGTTTGAGGCGGGTTAGTGGATGTGGTTAACCTGGGAATCTCAGTTAGAGTATTAAGCATGTCTTTTATATACTTTCAGGGCTGTTGGATAGCTGAACCGATATGTGACATAGGCTTAGGTGGAAGATAAATTGGGGAAAAAGGAATAAGTGACAAAATGAACATTAGTACTATAAAATCTCATTCTAACAGTAAATTCTTACAATATATTCAACTCAAATTTGATTTAAAAATCCTATTTGAGGCACTTTTATAGATATTATAGCCTCTCAAACTTCTACCCATACTTGAACACAAAGAACCTACTAGAATATCATTTTAGTTTCTTTGGCTTCCTATCATGTATTTATCTGATTTAGTGATGTTTATGTCGATGTAGGGCCCGAAGGTTCCCTTTCACCAATATGATAACTTTAGATACTCAACCTTTAGAGAATGAGTGGTGGATGTACTTTCATGCTAAATTAGGTTTACAATTGAACTTATAATTTTTAAAGCATGCTGACCAATCAAATAGAGGAAGCGATTACCAAAAGAAAAAAGGAAAAAAGAAAGTCCAATAGAGGGACTGTTTTTCAAGAGATCGTGTTACCTGAGGATGAAATGATGTGGAAAGAATGAAATGGATGGTGAGAAACTAACAAATGTTTCAATATTGCAGGAGACTCTCCTTAGAGTTTGCTGTGCAATGTTGATTCTCATAAGGAGGCGCCTGCTTGCCGGGGATTTCACATCTAATCTGAAGCTTCTTCAGAACTATCCCCCAACAAATGTCAGTCACCTTCTCTATGTTGCGAATAAGTTGCGTACTCAATCCCCAGGCTAATTTATTAACCATGCACTTCCTTTTTTTTTAACTTCTTTTCATTTTCCCCTTTAGTCTTTTTCATTTCAAAATGTAATTTTTTTGTATATTACTACTGGTTGTAAATGTTTGTTGCGAGTGACAGCTAAAATGCAGGGAGTAGCTTCTTCTCTTACATTTGTTTTCAAAAATTATTTACTGTTAGTTTAACAGAATTGCCACGCATTTGTTTTATTCCGATTGGTGAGATACTGCTTGGGGATTATGATATGGTTTTACATGGTGCTTAATGTTTAGTTAATTGTGAAGCATTTTCAGATGTTATTTAATCAGGAAGCTGAAGTGTACTTGACTGTACCATGAAATAAGAAGGCAGAGAAAGATGTATCATATATTGCTTATCTCTGTTTAAAAAAGCAGTTACTAGGGCAATGAAGAATAGCAGATATTAACGCTATCCTTGATCTTTGATGATCTTCAAGCTCTTGGCTATTTTATGTGCGTGGTTATTTAGGGCATAACATTAAAGTAATGGTTTTAGTAGGGTATATAACGATGTGATGATGGCAAAGGATTTTCTTATTTTGCTCGTATGTTTACCTCCCGCTTTTTGGTTTCTTTAATCTTTGGAAGAATGGTAAGTTGGTGGTTAGTTTTTTTATTGTCTTTGATCGTTAAAATTGTTTTGCATTATTCGGGTGCTAGATATGCAATTCATATATGAATTGCAATTTCAACAATCAAAATTAAGGCTGTGTTTAAAATGAATTACTCTTGTATTTTTACTTAAAAACTATCTTCAATTTAATTTAAAATATGAAAATTAAATTAGAAGGTAATAAAAGTTTGTATTAAGAAATTTGTAGTAAAATTGAAATAACTGACCTTAATTAAACTAAAACTCACATTTATTGTTTCCATCCTATATTATTTTTTAAAATCGAAATAACCTTCTCTTGATAACTAGATTGTGAATTTTGAATGAATTTTATAAATAATGTTCATATTTTCAAAATTTTGCATGCAAGCATTTAGAACTTAAAGTTAGTTTGCTTTTTATTGCAAGTGTTACTCGATTATTCATACACATGACGAACCTAACATCCATATGATTTGCCATTTTAAATTTTTAGTTTGTCAAATCCACCGCACTCAATGATATACCAGAGTCCACCTCAACTGGTACAAAGGGTAAGCCAAATAAGGCTGGCCAATTCAGTAACAGCACCTTTTGCCGATAACATATTATTAAATCATGAATATGAGAATTAGGCATTTCCGTTTCTGCCTCAAGTCCTGGACTATCTCATAGGTTTCATATCTCAGCACTAAAACATTGATACATCAATAGAGCAAATTTTGTGAGGAAAGAATTACTATCTGGTTTGTTCCAACCATTCAATCTGACGTAGTCTTGACCCTAAATGACATGTAGGGCTTTTCTACCATCTATTTGTGAGCTGATCCCATGTCAAAATCCCAGTAATTGAATAGTCGTCAATTTAAGTAACCCAACCAAGAGACCTAAGAGAAAAGCAGACATACAAAACTTAAACAGGAGCCATATTTATAACATAAATAAATAAAGCTAAAATTCCCGTCAGTATTAGAAGATAACATAATTGAATCAATAATATTGCGGTGTTCAATGACGCTAACAAAACCAATCAACAATACAACTGCTATATTTCTTGAGGGGCCTAACTAGCTATGAAAGATAGCTTAAAATTTATATGGTGAAATTGACTTTGCTTTACAATCTACTTCTCGATTAGGATAAAAACACCAAGGCATTTGAAGTTATCATCTCTGAGGCAAGGAATTGGAACTCCCTATAACTTAGTGTTTAGAAGGTTCCAATCTTGGGAAGACTCTGAATATGGGTAAATAAATAAATAGCATATACAAAGTATTACCTGAATAGTAGAGCAAGGTCAAGAAACCCATTTCTTCATCCAATATGGTGCATAAGGTTCAGGAATGGCCTTATAACTACACCAACACAAAACTGCAGTGAAAGCCTTATCTT